AATAATGAGGAATTTGCCTCAGTTTTGATTAATATTTAAATTACTCACTGTCCAAAATGGAGATAATCGAATCCTGAGAGAAGATTAATTCGACAAATACTGTTTATGCGTTAAAGCTTACTAAAATTAACCTCTGAATAAGCTCCTCTAACATGATACAAAAGTTATGAATGACTTTTTAAAATAATAATATAAGAAAGGGAAAGAGAAGAATCTCAATCTGAGAGAAAAGCCCATGTTTTTTGGCATGCCACACCCCTGAAATTCGGCCAAAAAAAGGGTATAAGCCTCATATACAGTATTACTGTTACACAATTTACAGGTAGAAATGCTTTTTTTAACCTTATGTTTGTATGCATTTATGTACACATGGCAAAACTGGAGTGAGTATGGGGATTGTCAGATATGTCCTAAAAATGTGTATTCTGCATGATGGGAAGTTTAATACAGTAAAATATCATTACAACAATACCATCACAACATAGTTTGCAGTATAACAAACTTTTTCCAAGTCCTAGCAGAAATCCTATAGGGTACATGTTATAAAAATCTTTTTAGGACAAACTGGCCTGTTCCAGTGCAACACACTTTTTTGAAAAACATGTTCTGATTTCCTAAGGAAAAATCCCCAATGAAGGCAGGCACAGTCTCGCATTTCTCATTCAAAATGTGACTTTGAGGGGTTTTTCGGAAATGAGGTGGAATCAAGGACAAACATTTTTCAAAATTCACCTGAACATTGTCTATTAAAAAAACTTTCCCTGGGTTAGGAATAATGGTAAAGAGGGGGGGGGGTTCTACAAAAGAAATGGACCCAGCAAAAATAATGTTAAAGGGGTTTGTATGCTTCAGCAGAAACCCTAATGATATAAAAATTTTAAGCTTTTTGGGATCATCCGATTTAACAAATCTGTGGAGGAATTGCTTAGAAAAACTTTGTCAACAAAAAGTGCTTGTGCTTACCTGTTATTTAGAGTAAATGTTTTTAGTAACATTCAAAAATTTTTTAAGATCACAGTTTTTCAAACACTGAAAAGCATTTGAAAAAGCCACAAGAGGGCGATGTTAAAATATATGCAGGTCTAATTTAAAGAAAATCTTCCAATCAGTCAATAATTTTGAAAATGTCATTGCAACAAACATTTTTCTGATGCCTCCACAAGTTTGTTGTAACAAGATCATACTGTATGAAAATCAACAATACGGTCCCTAATGGACGTTGCTGTGTGGGTGGACATTGAAAAAATATCAAAGGAAAAGGAATTATCAAAGTTATTTACTTGAGAACTGAGCGGAAGTTCAAGACTGAGCTGCTATAGCTGTTGGCAGTGTGCCAAAAATGAGGGGTTGGCCCTGGCCCTCGTGGTCTCTGGAATCCCTAGATGTTTGTCACCAACTCTGTACTAAAACAGTACCCGACCAACGCGAGGAACCATATGTTAGCAGGTGGCCAACTGCGTCAATGTGCATTAGGACAAAACTAGGAATGAAAAATAAAATCGAAATTCGCCAAAACCGGAGAGGTAGAACTAGAAAGAGAGGGAAGAAAAGCGAGTTGGCAAGGCTAGACCGGTTTAAGCTTGAAGGTCACTTCCGGAAGGGTTTAATGGAGGTACAGTATGTATTTACAATGTGGTTTAAAATATTTATATTATTTCGGTCTGATTTTGAAGCGCAGTTTTTTTTTTTTGAAACCCACAGCAGAGCTTTGAAGCTATACTCGTATTTAATAAAAATAAGTGAAATATCAAATTAATTTTTCAATTGGCTGAATTTCTGTTTTTCAAGCTTCATTTTATGGTACACAAAAAATTTAAAAAATTTAAGCTTTTTGAGATCAACATTAACAAATCTGTGCAGGAATTGCTAGGAAAAACTTTGTCAACAAAAAGTGCTTGTGCTTACCTTTTATTCAGAGTAAATTTTTTTAGTAACATTCAAATTTATTTTTGCATTGAATCGAATTGAATAAATTTGAATAAATTTTATTTTTGCTAAGACCATTTGAAAAGCATGAAATTTTCTCAAAATTTTGTCTATTTAAACCAGTGCATTTAAAGTTCGTTAACATTATAAACTTCAAGTTTGTTGGCTCAAAAGCCAATTCGCAAAAGCGTTTGCTAGCACTCACTCCTTACGATACCAGCAAATAATGGATTTCAAGGTGCCAGAAATATTTCGTTTCTGCTTGCATAAAAATTTTCGTGATTATTAATTTCCTGCCACCAGCAAGGAGAAGAAGTGTGCTACACAGCACTGTACTGAGAATAAGCGGGCTTTAACACACCATCCCGAAATATTTCCATTGTTATCATGGCAGCAGAACCCTTTGCGAACCCACGGGAACTCTGCTAGGAAAAGGTGATTGAACTCCTACATCGGCATTCGATGATCAAATCATCCTCAATCATCATTGCCCTCGTGAGATTCGGCTTATTGCCTGAGAACCATCTCAGGAAACATAAATCTACGCATGCATAGTCGTCTGTTTGCATGTCATGCATATATAGGGACTTTCGGGAAGCATGGGATTCTTCCGAGAAAGTCACGACCATACGTGAGACATTACTGTTATAAGTCCCGGGATTCCTTTGGAAAGGAGAAGAAAATAAGGAGGAATCTGGGATTGAGTCTCAATGGGATTTTCTGGAACGTTCTGCGCGGTATTCCATGAGCAAGGCGTAAAAATAACTCCAGGGCCTGGTTCCCAGAGATAGCTCACATTAATCCACACCCACCAGGGGTCTGGGTAGGTCCTGATAAACCTACTGGGCAAATACCCGCGTCGAGTAGCATTCTAAAATTAGCCCATAACCCAGGGTTCAAACTAGTACTGAGAAGCGTTTGTTTGACATCCGACGAGTTCTTAGCAACCTGTTTCCCCCCCCCCTATTTTCACTAAAAGTGCCTCCGAACTACGCAAGTAAGTTTTGAGTTAAAGACTACTGATCTAAGGACCTTGCATTATTTGGTGCTGATGCAGTTAAATTTTGCTAAAAAGAATCTTCATGTCACAACTTCTTTCCACAGGTTCTTTTCCTATAGCAAAAAATGTACTGTATTTGATCGGTATAATATAAAAATGCATTGTAGTGAAGCTTGTTGAAATAATTTAATGTGATTACAAATTGGGTGGGTTCTCTCTACAACTAAGTTCAAGGTAAAAAAAAAAAATTTGTCCTGGAGAACACCGAAAACATGGGGAGATAACCTTGTGGGACCCAACAGAAACTGGTTAGACAGAGAAAATAATTGTAAACAAGATTGTTGTAGAGAGGGAGTTTCATTTTGGCAACAAACAACCACTCTGATCATGCTTTCTCACAAAATGTTTGAGCATTTAAAACTTGGTTTTCTAAATTTGTATGCTGGTAGCTCCTGGTAAAAGTTACAGCTTTCACAGAAATCTGCAAATCACTCATCACAGAAACTATTTCTGCTGCAGTACTGTGCTTTTGAACAATTTATATACAAGAAACATTTTCCTGAGGATGAAATTTTACCAGTAGTACAGTTGGATCTCAGCTAATGAACACAAACTATTCTAGGAAAATGATTTTAAAAATTTGTAAGATGAACTTCATTTTTTGAATGAGTTTGAAAATTTTTACGGGAAACTTCAGAGTTCAATATCTGCTAGATGTTAGTACAGGGGGTACCTTGCAATTCAACCTCCCACTACTGTATTTAACCATCCCACAATTTGACAGTTGAATTTTCAGGGAGGTTGATTTGCAATTTGACTCTTGACCTGCAATTCAACCTGCTTTGGCCATTTTTTTGTGTTTTTGTAGTTATATTTTTGAATTGACTGCTTCACAATTTGACCTTAGTTCAGCAACAGATTAGGGTCAAATTGCGAGGTACCACCTGCACTGTATTTGTTTGCAGAGCAGATAAGGCACAAGCAGGATGTTTGTAAGCTGTAATTTTGTTAGCTGGGACATTTGCTATGCAAGATATGGCTGGACACTACAGTGAAATCTTATGTAAAAAAAATCCCAAGGGCATAATAAAAATGCACTATACACCAACAAGAAAGTCATCACAGAGTCATGGTTTTCAACACATTTTAGAGGGAAATGGGTAATAAATACCATAAACAGTTTAAACTATACTTCTATAATAAAACATAATTTGAGACCAGTCATAATTTCTAAGTATTTCTGATGAAATGATAACATTTTTGGGATGAATACAAATATCCATTCATTAAACCTGCATTTCTTCTAAATTGTCATTAAACAATTTTAATGCCAAGTACACATGTTTCCTTCTGAATCAATGTATTTATTTGTAACTGTCTGTTCTTTAAAATAAAAGAATATTATTTCTAATGCATATTGGTTATTTGGAAGAAAGGCATGCATTCTAAAATGGAGCAAAATAATTTCCGAAAAATATGCCATGTTCTGTATTTTTTGAACACCAAGTTTTTTCTCTGCAGAAAGTTTTGCTTCTTTGATGAAGTTGGAACAATCTTGTAACAGTTGCGTTTTTTTAATTTTTCTGCCATTTATCAAATAAGCCTTAAAGCATATGGACAGAAACAGTACCAACAATCTGTTGTCATAAGATTACAGTACAGAATGAGTTCATTAATATCAGATTTTCATGACAGTTTGCCAAATGGAGAAACTACGGGGATCACGAAAAAATTTGATACTGTATAGAGAGATTTGCTGTAATGGAATTCAACCACAGTACATAAGCAAACCATGACTTCATTTGACATGAATATGAATATGAACAGAACACTTTATTTGCCGCTTTTCAGCATTCACAAGGTTCAATCAAGATTTCCACAACCAACCCCCCTTCCCACCCAACCCAAATCCACTCAATGACATTTTAATCACTTCAAAGCAGGAAAGAACAAATTTATAACAAAAATAAAAGAAAATACAATACAACATCAAATACAAATGTCATTTGACATTTAGAACTGTTTATTTTTAAAATCTTGCATGTTGATGAGGATTCGGTATTTTAATCTCTTTGAAGCAGGGAAAATCTTCGCGCTCAGAACCGTGCTGTGAGCCATGGCTAGCGTAAAATACTCGAGCAGTGTGCCACCAATGGAAATGACGTCAGATGGCTCCGTTCTCATGTTGCCACCCACGAAGAAAGTGGCGCCGCAACGCCAGCAGTGGTCCAAGAAAGTTGAGTTCATCCTGTCCTCCTTAGGTTACGCTGTCGGCTTCGGGAACATCTGGAGGTTCCCGTACCTGGTGTACAAATACGGCGGCGGAACCTTCCTGATCCCCTTCGTCATCTTCGTCCTTTTAACCGGGATCCCTTTCATGGCCCTGGAAATGACCGTGGCCCAGTACGCGGGACTCGGGCCCTTCCACATCTACGACGAACTGTGTCCCGCGATGAAGGGCCTCGGGGTGGCCACGTTCCTCACCAGCTTCGTGAACTCCATACAGTACGTGCAGCTCTTGGGGTATGTCATTTACTACCTGTTCGCCTCGTTCACGACAGAGTTGCCATGGAACAATTGCGACAACGGCTGGAATCTGAATGGATGCATTGGTCCCTGTGGTTCTCAACCAGATGTTGGTGCGTGTCTTACAAACATTTGCCATTCTTTGCTGGGGAAGGAACACTTTGTTTTCAATTAAATAATTAAGATGAAATTCTTGAAAGTTTTTTTGGCCATTATTGTTGGGGACTGTGGCGCTGGCAGGAATTAAAAGAAATACAGTGAGACCCCAAGATGCGGACATAATTGGTGCATCAAGAGTGTCCCTAAGTCAGAAGGTCCCTAAGTTGAGTCTCACTTTCCCTTAGACTTACATTATATAATTTTTAATTGGTGTTTTGTGGAAGAAATAATCTTTGGAATTCCCTGAAAAATTGTTTGCCACTTGAATTTGAATTAGTGAATACATATTCAACTCAATAACAACATTTGGAGGTAACTTATCACATAGAGAGTACTGTACACTGAAATTTTGGCATCTACAAAAATAACATTCAAGTGAAAGAAAATTGAAGTCCCTCTATACTGGAGGTAATTTTTTAAATTAGCTAAATGGATGGTAATTTGGCAAGAGAAATGTCCAAGAACTTTTCTTACATCAATTTCAGGGTTGGAAAAATCTGTTTCTTGTAATTTGGCCTGAAATTTATTTGCAATTTTATCACAAAATGTCCCTATGTTGAGTCAGTGTCATCATGTCGGGCCTTATTTACCGATTTTTTCTGAGAAAATAAGTGTCCCTATGCCAAATTGTCCGCAGGTTGAGGCGTCAACATGTGGGGGTCTAACTGTATAACAATCCTCCCACATCCCAAAAACTTGTCCTTCCCTGGGAGCCTCAAAGAGCCTCAAGACCAAAAAACAATTTCCAAAGGACTGGTATAAGGATGCATAGCATCCTCTTCCATTCCAAGGATATCAACTTTGTCTGTCCTCTCTCTTCTCCAATACTTAGCAAATTTACTCATTCCACTGCCAATTCTCAAGCTGATTACACCTATAGAAACAATTAATTAAATCCTATCAAAAACCTTGTCTGAATTTATATTTTTGTTGTGTGAAAGCATTTGTGTGTGAGTTGCAAAGTTCTCTGAGTTGAATATTGTTGCATTGGCACATTAATAAATCTCCTTTTTTTGGAGCCTCTATAAAGAGGCTTCCTGCCAGTCCCAGGCTGGGTGTTGTGTTTTACTTTCAATTTTAATCACTTTCTTTTTTAGGAACATTTACTGTGATTCCTAACAATAATCAAGTAAGAAAAAGGTTACCATTAGAATAAAGCAAAAAGTTATCACACTAAAAGTAACGTGCATTAAAAACCCCCAAACTAAAGTTCTTATTGAAGTAACATGTGTTTTTTTCATCCAAGTAACATTTTTGGCATTAATTTCTAGAAATGAAAGTTTTTTCAGGCCATTGTCAAGCAATTGATATTTTAGCACCAGAATAACGCAAAAAGTTATCAAACAAAATTCAAGACCCATTAAAAACCTTCTAGTAAAGGTGTGTGTTTTTGTCTTCCAAGGGCAAATTTTGTTTTCACACAAAACAAAAACATTCATTAAAAACCCTTTATACCAAAGGTTCTTATTTTATGCTTTGTTTTCCTTCCAAGTAAAATGTTGACCTTTTTGTGAGCAGTATACAGTATAGTATTATGTTTCCTTCAAGGACAGAAAGTTAAATTCGGATCAAAATTGATGAATTCTGATGATTAGAAGGGGAAGCAAAACGACTAAAAATCGTTTTGTTGAAATAAGCCGTGAAATTTTGTAACCGAAATATTTTTATAAATCTGTGCCTGTAATGTTTTTGGAGTGGTACTATTCCACTGACGAACATTTTTCTGATGATGGGATTTCACTTCAGAATCTCGGCTAATGAACTCTAGCTATTCCTGGATAATTTCTTTTAGCTGAAACGTTTGTAAGCTACTGCACTTCATTTCTTCCGGAATGATTTTGGTGGTTTTTCAAGGAAACTTTGGAGACCAATATTTGCTAAATGTATCACTGTTAGCCCAGACAGATTAGCCACAAAGAAGATGTTTATAAGCTGTGATTTTGTATAGCTGGGACATTTGCTAGTTGTAAAACCAATACTAGGCCGTTCACTATAAGCAAACCATGACATTTTTGTTCCATCCCAAGCAATTCTAACATTAACATTTCTCCTATTTTTGATTAATGAAGGTGGAAAGTTCATCTGGTTGAATGAGACATGCCTGTCAGTGTGCCCAAGTCAACAGCTGGATGATTTAACCCAGGGTGGACTTCTGAGGGATAGTACCATTGAGTACCATATTTGTCCAGTTGGTACTTGCACTGGCAACAAGTGCGGGGATGAAGATGCAATGCATTGCAGCCTCTTTGGACATGTTTTGAACTGTTCCACTGGAGGAGAATACCCCAATGTTCACAGCACTTTTCCAACATATGACTACTTCTATGCAAAGGTTAGCAGTTCAAGAATGACATTCTATGACATCATTTAAGATTTTCAATCTGTTTTCTGTATTTTACTACTTCCTAGATGTGGCGTTGTTTCTATGCCTCCTCCAGCAGGGACTTCACCTGAAAATATTACATTTTAATTTGTAAATTTCACTAGGGTGTATAACACTCCAAATTCCAATTTTTGCTTAACCCTCAGCAGCACAGTCAAGTTTTTTTTTAGCATTCACTCACTAGGCACTTTGAAATTTGAAATTAAAATACTGCACTGGTTGATACAGGTGGTACCTTGCAATTCAAACCTGATCTGTTGCCAAACTAGGGTCAAATAGCAAATTGGTTTAATTGCAAGACACTCTGTCAGATTCAAAATTTAAGTTTTAAAATGCCAAAAAAAATGGAAAAAGCAGGTCAAATTGTGGGGCAAGGGTTGCATTGCAAGTCAACCTCCCTAAAAATTCAATCATTGAATTGTGGGATGGTCAAATTTCAAGGTACCACCTGTGTTTCTCAAGTTGGGAAATGTTCTCATTTCTTTTGCTATGAGAAGATAAGTAAGAGGAAAAAGCTATCTTGTCAAGGCTGATTTTATTTCAACCTTCTGTCATAAGGTGGTACCTTGCATAACTTTGGCTATCTGCTGGACATTGATAATTTTCCTCACTTGACTTATCAAAAGATTTCCCAGCTAGGCCACTCTGGTGCCATTTTGGTGACCTTTGGTCAAACTAAAATGCACTGGCCTTCAAACAAATCCTGGAATCACCATCATGCAATGGATAACATGCCTTTACTAGCTGCTGAAGGTTTAATGGTGTTTCAGAATTTTTTTTTGCCCGAGTCACTTTCCCAAATGGTTTCTTTTTGTTTTTCTTAGAGATGTCAATAGCGCCATTTTCATTTTCTTCCAACCAGTTCTTGTACCAATTTACAACTCATGGAAAAGTCCGCCTACATGCTGGGAAGTTCTTGTGTTCCACCTGTCAGGTGCCCAAGTACCACCAGTGGTACGCGTATCACCTTTTCAAAATACTTGTTCTATGCACCTACATGCATGACTTTTTTTTTCTCAATATCGCAGGTACTCAACTTGTATGATTCTGAAGGCAACGTCGCAAGGTGGGAGTCTTACGGTACCATGGTGTGGCCAGTGTTTGGTTGCGTCATAGTGGCGTACATTCTTGCGGGCAGTGCATTAGTCCGAGGGATCCAGACATCAGGGAAAGTAGTCTACTTCACTGCGACATTTCCATACGCCATCTTGGCTGTTTTGTTTGCCTATGGCGTTTCACTCCCAGGGGCGTTGGATGGCATCAAGTTTTACCTGACACCGGATCTGAATAAGCTGATGGAGTCAGAAGTGTGGTATGAGGCACTAGCTCAGGTCTTCTTCTCTCTGGGCGTTGGCTATGGAGGGGTGATGACTCTGTCATCCTACAACCACTTTGACACTCCTGTGGTGTCTTATGCTGTTATGATCAGTACCATGAACTTCCTGACTTCATTCTTTGCTGGTGAGTCAGTTGAAGTATGCATCCAAATAAATATAAAATTACAGTAAGACCCCCACATGCAGAAACATTGACCTGCAGACAATTTGACATAGGGACACTTATTTTCTCATGAAAAATTAATAAGAAAGGCCCAACATGAGGACACTGACTCAACATACAGACATTTTGTTATAAAATTGCAAATACATTTCAGGCCAAATTACAAGAAGCAGATATTTCTAACCCTAAGATTGATGTAAGTCAATTTACCATCCATTTAGCTAATTAAAAAATTACCTCCAGCAGAGAGGGACTTCCTTCTCTCATTTTCACTTCAATATTAGTTTTACAGCCAACAGTTCCATGTACTGTACAGTGGGATCAGTATTCAATTCCCCAAATGCCCATATTGTGTTGAAATATATTGATTGGAATCAGTTTAAATTGGGAGGCACTTTTTATTTTCATGGAATGATGGTGAGTATTTTGCACAAAAACACCAATTAAAAAGTATATAATGTAAGTCTAAGGGAAAATTTGCCTCAACTTAGGGACATTTGGCTTAGGGACACTCTTGATGCACCAATTAAGTCCGCATCTTGGGGTCTCACTGTAATTTCAATGAACCCTAGCAACTGGGACCTGGAAAACTCCCTTGGACCCATATTTACTCAAGTAATACAGGTAGACACCTTTTCTGAAAAAAAAATTAAAAATTGTGGGCGTGTGAAATGTGGCTTATCAATATTCAATAAAATTAAATTAGAATCCAACGTGCCTTCTACTCAAATCGAACCAAGAAAATACCAAACAAGTAAAGCATATTCAAATAGTTCCCACTGATCTATCATAAATTTGGGCTCAAATGAGAGCTTAAAATATGAAGCAACATGGATGATTCGAAGTAAATTGTAGTAAATTTTCCTTACTAAATTCCCACTTACATGAGAAATTTTCAAAATTATGCAATTTTGGGTCAGAGAATGATATTTTGTGTTTTAAATGATCTTCGCAATGAATTTCCCTCTGAAAAAATAATGTTGTGTGGCTTACTTCAGGGAATCACATGGTATACTCAGGCAAACATTGTACTGTATACTGTACAGAGATGGAAAATTTAGGGGTTTGCCCCCACAAATGTTTACAGCCTGGATACATGTGTGTAAGTACAAATAGGAACCCTTGAAGAAATCAAGTTTGTTAGCCGGAAAATGCAATCGCAGGTACATTTGTTGACCAAGACCCGACTATGATCAGAAATTTTACATACCAGGTGTATGACTATCTCGACAACAAAATTCAAGGGACCAGAAATTTTTTTTGTCCAGAGAATTTTCTTGTTGGCAATGATCATAACAGGAAAAATAACAGCATGGGACCCAAAAATGTTATATAGAGAAGATCATTGCCAAGAAGATCATTGTAGAGAGTCCACCTTGATGCTGTAACAAGATTGTGTCTGTCCTGCTGGACCATTAAAAGGGAATGCAATTGTTGGGGACATGTGTCAAACTCCTTTTCAATCAAGGAGATGAAAACAAGCAGAAACAATAGCAACAAAACTATCCAAGAATCAAGAAACCCTCCAGATCTTCATGAAAAAAATAACACTGCAATAAGACACTAGAACAACTTTGACTTTCATCAGTCTTTTTTGAAAGCATTTGCAGTGAAGTGTGTGCTTGAATCAGAAAGAATTCTGCTGAGTTGTTGAATTTCATCAAAGCTTATCATCTCTACTGTGTTCACTTTTATTGAGACTAAGAAATACATAACTTATGATGAAATAAGATATTCCACAGGAATTTCTGGCCTTGTCCCAGGCTGAGTACAAGTTTCATTTCTAGAAGTGCTTTTATCTCTTTTTTTTATCCAAAAATACTCACATATTTATGCTTTGGTAAGTTATTCCCTAACAGAAATTACAGGTACTGTATAGTGAGAGTCACTCTGACCTAAGTTGAAGGAGAGACACTTGGAGATTTATACAAGGGTTTATTCTTCATGTTGGTTGGGGTGACTATTCACAAAATATAAAAAAGGTGTTCACTCCGATTGGATGAGTTTGCATTGTTAGCAAGAGCTCTAAGGAGATGCTTTTGGTTTGAGCGCTGGCGTGAGAGTGCCGGTTCCACTGCTGGGCTCAGCCTGACATGGCTGGCCGCGAGATTTGTCGAGGACGCTATACTCGCTAAAAGAGATGAAGAGGTTAGGCGCAGGCAATGTAGATGTCGCCGGCGCTTACTCTCCCCCCCCCCCCAGAAGAAAGCCCAGAGGAGTCGGAGGGCAATTATGGAGACACTTATTACAAATGAGTTTACGTGGGCAAAAAGGGGCAATGCCAAAAGGGGTTGCAAGTTTGAACCCCTTAGCGCTTCTTTGGCGGCAATGAGTTAGTCATCGTTGCAGTGGATGTCCATTTTGTCGGAGGGCACAGGAGATGTTGGCTGGGTGGTGGGACACTGGGTTGGTCCAGGGCAGTTGCGTGAGCCTCCCTGGGTGATTGGTCTTTCTGCAGGTAGATGAGAAGAATTAACATCAAGAGTTGTAGGTTTTAAGTGATTAGCAGGAGAGGTGGCAGGGGGCATATGTGGGCCGCGGTATGGTTGGAGTTCCCAGGCGTGTGCTTTACATGGCCCGGCAGGGGTTTTGAGAATATATTGGCCCTGTCCGTTATTGCAAAGGACGGTGTATGGGCCTAAACCTACAGGGAGGAATCGGCGGTGTGCTGCATGGCAAAGAGCGTAGGGAGTCTGGGTAAGACCGTGACAGTCTGAACATTTTTAAAATGTTCGTGTTTTGTTTTATTTGCCTGTGCGCAGAAGGCATCACGTTGTTTGGTAGTTTGTGCTTGTACTTGGGAAAGTTTCTGAGAGATATTGGGTGGTTCGATTTGGTTTGTGATGTTGGCGGGTAATGGGATTGACCATCTTTTAAAGAGGTTGAGAGGGGAGAGTTGTGTAGTAGAGTGTGGTGTGAAGTTATAGGAGAGGGTTGCGTCTTCAAGGCGGAGATCCCAGAGATTGGGGGTAGGTGTGATTTTGGCAAGGATTTGATTGAGCGTTTTAATAGCGAGTTTGCAGCCACCATTACCTTCCGGGTGGGATGGCTTGGCTATGTGAACTTCAATTTGGTTTGCACGGATGATGAAGCGTTTGTAAGCTTGAGAGAAGAAGACTGCAGCTTGGTCCTAGTGGATGACGTTGCAGGTGCCAATCTGGGAAAAGACATCAGAGAGGAAAGAGCAGAGCTTGTTAGCGTTTGCACGTTGGACAGGTTTAGAGATGATTAATTTAGAGAAGAGGTCAATAGCTATGAGGGCATAGTGATTGCGCCTGGGGGTGAGGGGGAGGGTTCCCCATAAATCTAGGGCAAGACATTGGTGTCGGTCTGTTGTAAGAATTGGGGAGAGTTTGGTTCCCACATGTTTTGTATTAAAGTTGAAGGAGAAACAGGCTGGGCATTCTTTGGCAAATTTCCAGGTAGATTGGCAGAGCTGAGGCCATGTGAAGCATTCTTTGAGAGCGGAGTAGAGTGTTCTCCAGTTAGCATGACCAAGCTGTTTGTGGTAGGTTTTGAGAATGTTTGTTTGTTTGTCAAGAGTAGGAATGGTTTTCAGTGCATTAAGAGTGATGCGACTGAGAGCGTCAGGGCCCGCGAGGCTGTTGCCTGGGCGGTATTTGAAGGTGTAATTAAAATATTCTAATTTGAGAAGGAGGCGGAGTAGTCGAGAGTCTTTGAGATTGCCCAGGAAGGCTTTGTGGTCAGTAAATATAGTAAAGTGCCGGTATTCAAGATAATGCAGGAATTTTTTGGTGGCAGCCCAGACGGTGGCCAGGAGTTTGCGTTGAGTGTTAGAGTAGCGGGTTTTGGGGTCAGAGAGTACCCTACTAGCATAAGCAATGATATGTGCCGTATTTTGAGAGTCGCGTTGTACAAGGATGGTGCCCAGGCATGTGGCCAAGGCATTGCAGTGGATTTCTGTAGGAGCATCAGGGTCAAATTGTTCAAGGCGGGCTGCATTTGCAATAGTGTCTTTGAGGTCATGGAAGCATTGTGTGGCTTTGGTGGTCCAATTGAGCTGTATGGCGGGTTTTGCTGGGATGGTTTGGCAGAGAATTTTTTCGTGCTTAGCAAAGTTGGTGGGGACGTGTTCACGGAGATATGTCGTGAGACCAATGAATCGTTGGAGTTGTTGGGTAGTTTGCGGCTGGGGAAAATTTTTAATAGCCTCTAAGTGAGTTTCTGCTGGGCGGGTGCCTGTTTGATCAATAGCGTAACCAAGAAAAGTGATGGTTTTGGCAAGAAACTGGGATTTGGAAATGTCAATGATGGCGCCCACATTGGAGAGGGTTGTGAGTACTTGAGCAAGATTTTTTGAGACTGTGTGGAAGGTTGGGCCAAAGACAATTATGTTGTCAAAGTAAACAAGGCATTTGTTGTAGAGGTGGTCACGGAGAATGGTTTCCATGGTGCGGTGAAAGATAGTGGGCCAGTTTTGAGGCCATAGGGGAGGACAGTGTATTGCAGTTGTCCGTAGGGGGTGGTGAAGGCAGTTTTCTGGCAATCTTGGAGAGCAAGAGGGATGTGATGAAAGCCAGAGTGTAAATCAAGAGTGCAGAAATATGCATTTTGGCAACTGAGAGTGTCTAAAAGATCGCGAATTACCGGCATGGGGTAGTTGTCTGGTTTTAGGAGTTTATTGATTTCACAATAATCTTCCACAAGGCGCCACTGCTTCATAGCGGGTGCTTTGGGGTCAGTGCAATGTTTAGGGGTTAGGAATGCAGGAGAGCTGTAGGGAGAATGTGCTGGCTCAAGAATACCTGTGAGTTTGTAATTTTTGAGAATTTCTTGCATGGGATTTTGCTTATCGAGAGATTGGCAAAAGTGCTTTGCCATGGGTGGGGAGTCAGAGTTGGTAGGGAGGTAGGCAACATATTGGGGAAAAAGGCCATGGCGGCCACTCCATTGAAATATGTTTTTGTGAAATTGTGCAAGAAGGGCCGTAACAAGGGCGCAATTGGGTGTTGACCCGTCAATGTAGGTAATTTGTTTGCTGATGGCGCAGGAGGGTTTTTTGGTGACAGGCTGGATTGAGCAAAATCCAGAGAATATGAGGGACCCATCTAGTGTAATGGAGATGGGGAGGATGCTGAGGACGTTGCATCCAAGAATTATGGGGTAAAAGGCTTTTGGGAGAATAAGGAAGGTGGCTGGGTAGGAAGTATTGCAAAAAGTAAAGGTTGTACTTACCAGTTCTGTGAGTGGGAGCAAGATGTTGGTAACCACCACCGCAATTGTTGTGGATGCTGGAGATGTAGGGATCAGTGGGAGTGTTTTGGCAACGTCTGCCGCAATGAAGGATTTGGACTCACCCATATCAATTAGAGCTGTGCACTTCTGTCTGTGGATGGTGATCCTGTCTTGGGCGGCCTGCAGCATGGGCACAGTATAGAGGACCGCTGTCACTGTCCGCAATTGCAGTTTCCTGGCGCCTTGCAGTTGGCTGCCAGGTGATCTGTTTTGCCGCAGATGATACATGAGAGAGATTTTTTGTTAGTCTCTTTAGGGGCACTTGCCGGTTCTGCCCGAGGCAGGCAACACTGCTTGGTTGTGTGAGAGACGTACTTGCAGTGATGCGCACAGAAATGGGTGGGCGGCGGCTGTCCTGTGTGCAGGGAGCATTCTTTGGATGTGTGTGCCGCCATGCGATCATGATGGATGCAAAAATGGAGTTGTCGGTCCGTGGATCCTGAGGAGGATGAAGCCCCTGAGGAACTGGGGGGTCTGGTGCTTGGGGGTTTGCAGGTTTGTTGGTTGGCTGTAGGGCCACAATTAATAATGATGGCATGCATTGGGATGGGTTAGGCAATATTCATCTGCTTGTTTGCAGAAATTGGTCCAGGTGATGTCTGGTTTGGCAAGCGTGCATGTGTTTTCTTGGGTAAAAATGTTCAATGCGCAACGGAGGTAAGCGTCGACTTCTTTGCCTTGGTGTTGACGGGGAAGATCAACGGATGGGTTAGGCGTATGAGAGAGGCACGGCGGGGATGGTGAAGAAGTAGGAGAAACATTGAGGAATACCGTGTTTGGCGTGATGTTGCGGGCTTCAAGGACGTTGATGTAGTCCTGGCGATTTGTGCCCATGGTTGGGCGGGGGAGATTTTGAGTCTGGAAGTACTGCACAAAGGTGGCTTTGGTCAAGCGGGACCAGGGATCCACTAACTGAGATACGTCCGGAGAATCGGGCGAGAATTCTTTTGAGTCTTTGTCACTCATGATGGTTGAGAATTAGGGGTAGCTTTGCACTATATAGATGAGCCCCCAGTGAGAGTCACTCTGACCTAAGTTGAAGGAGAGACACTTGGAGATTTATACAAGGGTTTATTCTTCACGTTGGTTGGGGTGACTATTCACAAAATATATGTATAAAAAAAGGTGTTCACTTTGATTGGATGAGTTTGCGTTGTTAGCAAGAGCTCAAAGGAGATGCTCTTGGTTCGAGCGCTGGCGTGAGAGTGCCAGTTCCGCTGCTGGGCTCAGCCTGACATGGCTGGCCACAAGATTCGTCAAGGACGCTATACATGCCAAAAGAGAGAAAGGGGTTAGGCGCGGGCAACGTAGATGTTGCCGGTGCTTACTGTATAAACAATAAATGTTTTGTGAGATTTGTTGTGACAAGATCCAACACCTGTACATCAGTGGTATCTTGTGCTAAAAACATAATTTGTTCAAGCACTATGTTCATTGTATGGTTTTTTTCTTCATATATGAATCACATTGGTATAAAGACTTCATTTTTCTTCATATATGTATTTTTTGCAGTTAGAAGGGCTTACAAAATCTGACCACAAAAATTTGTTCTACAGCAGTGTGTTTGTAGTGCAAGGTGCTTGTTCAACAAATTATGATTCTGAATAATAGAAGGTTCTGATGATGATTATAACTTTGCTCTTCAAATTCCAGGATTCATCGTATTCAGCGTTCTGGGATACATAGCCCAAGAGACGAACGTGCCGATCGACAGCGTGGCAGGAAAGGGCCTCAGCCTGACCTTCATCTCATTCCCCACTGCACTGGCGAAGATGGCGGCTGCACCCGTCTGGTCCGTCCTCTTCTTCGCCATGTTGGTGACTGTGGGCCTGGACACGCAAATGGCCGACATGGAGACGCAGTTGACGGCGTTCTTTGACGAGTTCCCGACCTTGCGCACCCGAAAATCCCTGGTGGTTCTCGGAGTCACCACAGCCGGTGTCCTTGGCGCCATGAGCATGTCATTCCAGGGCGGAATATGGATGATGACCCTGTTGAATGACTACGCAGCAACTGCGCCGGTGCTGATCGTGTCGCTCTTCAACGCCGTGATCTTCGCTTACCTCTACGGGGTTCACAGGCTTTTCCAAGACATGGAAACCATGGTGGGCCCGGTTTCGAAGTTCACGAAGGCCTACTTGTTCGCCACTTGGAAGTTCAGTGGCCCAGCCACCGTTTTCCTGTGCTTGATGTACTTTTGGGGCACGTTCCCGGGAAGTGAGTACGACAGGCCGAGATCCGAGTTGTTCCCGGGGTACATCAACGTCCTGGGCATGGCTTGCACTGGGTTCCTCTTCATAATCATCCCGGTTGGAGTCCTGGTGCAGTATTACAGGAACAAAGACGTCGGTCTGAGGAATTTATTCAAGCCCACTGCAGAATGGATGTCGCAGGAAGAGCGTAAAGCTAGGGGTCGCACATCAGTGTACCAAGCAGAGGGGTTGCTTATATAGCGGTCGAAATAAAATAAAAAATTATGAATAAAAAATGATTTCATTCTAAAAACGTAGCTCTATCCCATCACTGGACGACCCTATGATCCAGGAGTTAACTTGTGTGAGAAAATTGATTTAACGCAACACAGCTTTGGCATTGGAGGGGGTTCGGGTTCGGGAGAGCCTTCCAAAAAATTGGTTCATGCTTTGGTTGTGCATTCCTAGCTTCTGAGGCTTAGGTGATGAAGAAACGCGTGTATTTGAAGCCAAGCGACTCTGTCAAAGGATGGTTGGATTTCTTTGCTAAGTTGAGTTCAGCTGAAGACTGGATATTGCGACTGTAATATGAAGGAAATATTTTGATGGGAATGCTCTCGAAGTCTGCGAAAAAATATATGCCAATCGTATGGTGGCAAAATGCATCTCGTGTGTGCACAAATTGCGTCTCGGCTGTTTGTTGCAGAATTGTTTCCGAGGACAATAAAAATGGTGCTTCGTGGCAACAGAGAGAATAAAGAAGGAGTTCTTGTCTCATTCGCAAGTTCTGAATTCACCCGAAGGTTTACCTTGAAAGATGAGGAAAGTTGCTGAATAAATTATTGGAGGAAAAGCACCATCCAACACCCGATAATCGATACATGGACTTACTGCAGCATAGCAACCGTTTCAGACACATTATGCTGAATGACCTTTCAAGTTTCTCTGGATGATATGTGCCAAAATATCTACCATAGCTCATTTTTTATGCGTAAAATCGTGGTCTTTTTCAAGTTGCTGGCAGTGGAGATGCCAGCAACTTGATGAGATGTAACAAATCTAGTTTAGTCCCAAGAATTGAAATGAATTGAACAGGAAGATTTATTTTCTGCTTTTCAGCATTCACAAGGTTCACACTACCTTCCCACATTTAAATCCCCCTTCCAACCCAATTCCTCCCGAAGGCATTCAATCACTTCAAAAGGGAAATCAGAGAAGTAAGTTGTATGTGGGTACCAAAAGAACATAAAATACATCCCACAATGTACATCTGCACAACTGGTGTGAATGCCTATAAACCCCTTTCCTTCACTGATAACAAAAACAAGATATCAGTAATAAGAATTGCAACCCAATTATTTAACCCAATTTGAAGTACAAGGTCTCCAGCCTGTTCCCAGATAAGGTGTAGTTGAATAAATAATTTGGAGCGAATCTTTGATGAGAAATCATATAAGCTTAACAATTTTTCTTGGTCCTCTAAGATTTTAGAAAGGATCTTTTCATTGAATTTCAAGTGCCAGGATACTTCCATTTCTACAGTTGTGGCCCACAGTGTAATATGATCTTTTTTTATCTTCTAATCTCAGTACTTTAAAGTATTGGGTTCACCCACACTGTGTATAGTTACTGTATTTACTCAAGTACCATGCGCCCTCAAGTAAGGCGCGCACAGGGGTTTTTCAGTTGAAAATTTTGCAAAAATCTTACCCCCAAGTAAGATGTGCACCCCAAGTTTTAGTGAATCTAAAACCATAAAATTTCAAAAATAAAAACAAAAAAAGACTTTAGGCATGAATTGAACAAAAATCTGAACAATTTTCAATTTTTTCAATACAAAAATGTTTTCTTGTTATATTTGTTCCAAATTCTCCATTATAATCAAGTATAATGCAAACTTAACTTCCTAAAACTTTTTGAAAATTTTTTTACCCTCTTATGACGCGCACCCCTTTTTCTTCTGAAATTTGGGAAAAAAGGTGCGCATGGTTCTCAAGTAAATACGGTATTAATATTGTGCATTGAGGATTCATGAATAATTAATTTTGGAGCACTGAGTCATGTGAAGTTTTTGTGGGTGAATCTTTACAGGTGGGGACTTCTCTTCATTTCTGATGATTCAGCAATAAATCCATTCAAATATGAAGCTGACGATAGAGCATAATAATTTCAATATTATCGTTATTCTCGAGTTTTTTAAACTCGAATTCTCTGCCTTATTTGATAACACTCTTTTTCACTTGCAAGCTTTTGGTGTGAAATTTACTTCAGAAAATAAACTGCAATTGCATTCTTTTAGAGTGAGTTGAACTGCATTTGTTTGATCATTGCGTCCGAGAAATTGGAAAACACCCAGATAAAATTGGTCAGTTTTGTTTCAATAATAGCTGAAGGTACGATGGGCAAGTCTGAGGACTTCAGGAAATATTGCTTAAATGGGAACACTCATATACCTCTGGAACAGTCGGAGATTGGAAAATGAATAAACTGCAAATTTTAAATCCTTCAATCGCCTTTCCAGTGATATATTTCACGTGAAACGGTGTGACATCAAGGAAAAAAAATACTCCTAAAATGTGATCCGTGTTCCTCATCCCATGTGGACTGGTGCTGGTCTGTAGAAGTTTTTTGCCAGTCCGCGGGAAAATTTCTTCCACATAATAATTTCATTAAAAGTAGTGATGAAGTCTGTTATTGCAATCCAAAATGTTGGAGACAATGGGAATTGAAATTACGTGATGCAAACAAAATTTTTGGTTTTTCTCCTAATGGCAATTCAGACATATTTTCCTGTGTTGAAATATATTACTTCCAGTTTTCAACCTGAGAAACCTTTCTTCAAGCACAACATCCTATTTTTAAAAAACATTTCCACATGATAGCTGCTTCACAGGTTCTTAATCTAATTTTTGCCATAAAAGCTTTGTTCTGAAGACTGTATGGCTGGTATTTTAACATTTTCTGCTGGTCATCAACAGTTGTACACGACATTGCTGGTCCATTGAAAATTGTATGCAAATATGCCAGTCCTTGGAGGAATTTATTAAAATGTGCCAGTCCTTTTGAGCCCAAAAAGGTTGGGGAACACTGCTCTATGACATATGGTTGGTAAATTAATTTATGGCCAATTTTGCTTGTAAAGAATGTCTTCTTCATTCCAAGCACTGAACAGGTTCACTCCATTGGTACTCCAAAAACGATATTCGCGGGGCTGAACCGTCTGAAAAACAAGAATCACAACAGATATTAGATTTTACGGCAGATGCGAAATTTAAATTTTATTACCTGGGATGCACACCGGAAATGAACTGCACCTTCGCGACATGGACCTGGTCCCAGCAATTCCTTGACACCGAGTGTCGCTCACTTGCAAGCAGTCCCATGGACACTGGATACTGGAGCATGTCAACTGATCTGTAATTTTTTCAGAAGGTAAACAAGACATTGAAACGAGCTTGACCACTGTGGAGTGGAGTACATTTAGATTGTTTGAATGTGGTCCCTATGTGGCTCAATGCATTTAGCCGAATGTGTTGCGCACGGTTGCTGTGAAACCAGGAAGTTCTGGTGAAATTCCGTTTCATAAAAACAAAATTTTCAAAGTTCCCAGCGAAAATTCATCACAAAAAGAATACAAAATAGTTTTGCAGACAAGTTTTTCAGGTTCAGTACAGTACAAAAAATTAATTCTATGATTTTTCCTGCATCCATCAGAATGCTTGTAGTTTCTTTATTCTGCACCAAATTTCCTTTTTGAAAAATATGCTGCAAATTGTAGAAGAACAACTTGAAGAAAAAACTTTAGCATGATATTTACTCAAGCATCACATAGCCCTGCATGAGCTGTGCACATTGATTTTTAAGTGGAAATTTGGCAAAAATCAATTACAGCGCATGCATGGAGCCAGTTTCAATTTGATTTTTTCATATCAGGGATTTAGACAGTTCAATTTTTTAGTCCACTGTATTCTCGAAAGAAAGGTGATTTTTCTCATTTATCTGCCTTTTTTCATAATTTTGTCCTATCATGGCTGATATCTTCCTCACAAAATAAAATGTAACCCAATTGAATTCAACTTTCAGTTGACCCTATAATGGGTAATTTCAATTATTTTATTTCCTGATCTTCAACTAATGTGATTCGACTTAATAAAGTAAAATATGCTGGTACCAAAGTGACACTGCTTTAAAAATTTTGAAAAAATTGTTGGGAACAATATATTTCCAAGTGTTTTTTGTTGGGGAACCATAACTTGGGCCCAGGGACATCAGGTCCCAGGACCTGAATTCTGGTCCCGTTTTCCTTCATGCATCCACTCCTTGGATGTGCAACTTCTTTGATTCACATTTTGTCCGCCAATCACAGGCAAGAAAAAACGTCCAATGCTTTGGTCAGGTCAGCTGACTGAAGCATTGTGCTAAATCGCATAAAAACCCAGCACTCTTCCACTCCCAATAATCAGTCCTTAAAATTAGCTTTAACATTAAACTTCCTCCAAATATTACAATCCCAATTCTTCAGATTGAATTATTGCACTCTAAATTTGTGTGCACAAATTTATTGTCTTCATTGAATGTGTGTCGCATTATTGCATTTATTGTGATGTATCATTTTTTGTATTGTGTTTGATTATGATTTATTGTGAGCTGTGATTAAACCAGACAAAACTAGGGATATGTAATTAAGGTACCCCCTTAATTACATATTCCCAGCCGCAAACCGGCTGATTGCCCTGCCTTGTTATTTCCCACCTTTTTCTTCCACTGCGCTATGGTTCAATTCTTTATGTTGGGTCGATTAATTCCTCAACATTATTTGCACCCCATTTGCTGGTCTGGATTTATAAGGGGAATGTGCTCTTTGTACTTCCAAAATGTAGTTCTGCACACTTGTACTGTATAGTGAATAAATAAATCAATCTGACTTACTTTTGGGAGAAGATTTTATTTTTACTGGATATGCATATTTTTAAAATTATATTCTTATATTCTGCTTGTAAAATTATTCTTGGCTTGGAGATATGCTTTTTTAAAGGGAACAGTTCATGTTTAAAAAAAAAGGACATCCAATTCCTGCCGGGGGAAATATAAATAATATTTCGGGGTACTTGAATATAACACATTATACTAGAAATTGCTTTTCTTGCTCCCCTAAAAGTTGTTTGTGACAAGATTTCACGATACTTACAGTGGAGATATTTTTCAAAACCTCACCCCATTCAAAATCTCCAGGAGTAGATTTCCGCGAAGAGCTTGCACATCCCATAGAAACATCTTGACATTCCCATGGGCGCATGAGACATTCGGGAGATGGAAAAGCAGAAAGCTGACAAGAATCCTGTGCCCTACAAATTGCTTCCTGATCGTAGTACTCGCTGGAGCAAATCCCTGTCAAAACTGCTGTATGTAGACTCAAAGCACCACACAGTTTTTATGTACATTATCTCCACTCACTCTCATCATGCGTTTCCAGGTCATGATGATCCTTTTGAACTCTCGGCAGAACTAGAATCAACCAGAAAGTCTTCAAAAGACACGCTTATGCCAAAATGGGCATCTGACCTTCTCCACTGTGCACAAGAAAGTTTGTGCACATCGGGCTGTACAAGCAACTTTTCATCTTCCTGGAGCATTCTTCCACTAGGATGCACCCATGACCAGCTGACTGATCGCATGCTGAAGCACTGCACATTGTTGCCTCTGAAATGAAGAAATTCAGAATTCAGTCAGGGTGACATTTGCATGAGATGGAAAGTTTACCATGTCGTGTCAAACATCTGGGTTCAAGACAGCATTCTGCATTTGTGGAGTCACACTGCTGTCCTGTTGGTTGAACCAGCCCACACACCTGATTCAGGCCGCACCTCCTCTGTCTACCATTGGGGTAAAATCCACATTCATAGCCTGAAAAGGTCCCAAATCAAACATGGAACAGTGACATAGGCTTTAATTTAAATTTAGATAATTCACTCCTTTAAAAAAGTCATTAGTATCAAGAAAATGCAGAAATTCATTGCTGGATATACTGAACATGCTATTTTTGATTAACCCTTAGGCAGTATAGTGTACCAAAAGTGTTTCAAAAAGTATTTTTGCAGAAACTAAAATGAGGAACTTTGTAAACAGCAAGGTACTTAGCCAAAAGATTTCTGAAGTTTTTCTATGCATGAAAAAGCCTTGAAAGAATTCTTTACAGGAGATCAGATGTTACCATGCATTCCATCCAAAGGACTGTAAACTGGGATGCCTGAGAAAGCAAAAGACATTCAGCAAAAAACTGCTCAACTTGGTGCTACACAACTCATTCATCACCTGGCATTCCAGTGACATGTGGTAAAACCAAAATGGCTGCCCATATTGAGAAATCCCAACTTTTGCCATGAGAGGAAGGCCCCTTATTGTGCCTATTTAAAACTCTTTTCTCAGTTTCAGGCATTTAATGAAGATCAGCTGCTCTTGTGCCATGACCTTCATTGAAAGGGGATGTGTCTGGTATAATGCTGAAATTTTCACTTTTCAGGGGCATTCACAGAGCTGTAAAATGGCATGATTAGTGTAATTTATGGAATGGAAAAATCATATACAGTATCAAAGTCTGCTTTTAAGCTCTCCAACTGAGATTTTAAACTTTCAAAACAATTTTAATATATTTTAGTCTTCTTTTTTCAGATGATGTGCCATGTTTTAAAAATGTTTTTAGGGCTTTCGTTTTGGTTTGAAGAGGCCACCTTGTGAAGCAACAAATTTTAGACCCAGCTATCATGAGAGATCAGCTATTATATACGTGACTGAATCTCCTCCGAAAATCTGGCCTTTAATCTGCGTAGAGACCTGCCTAAATTATATACACTACTGTACTAGGATTAAAAAAAACAAGTATTGTTTTTACTAGAGTACCAGGGGCACCATTTTCTTTTGTCAAACTTGAGAGGAAAAAGGGGGTGATGGCCATAGGCGGGGATACATTTTTCAAAAATTTTATGAAAGCTAGTCTTACATATGTACTTGATTCTAATCTAAGAGACCCATATACTTGATTCTAATAGAAATTTCTTGGACCAATTTTAAAAGAAAAACATTTCAATTGAAACAATTTAAAGTCAGTTAAACTCAGCGTGTTCACTTTACGTTTGAATTTAAATTTGGGAGTCCTTGTTTTTGAAATATTGTGGGTTAGACGTTAGAGTCACCAAAAATGGGGTGCTCGTCTTACATGGGTGCATATAAGATTCTATCAAGATTTCCAACTGAAAAACCTGGGTGCCTGTCTTACTCCAGCGGGTGTGGTAATTACGGTAATTTCAGTTCAGTTCAATGTTCTAGATCTGGCTTCTGAACACTAACTAGCATCAGTTGACTGTTGAAGCACCCATAAGACCCATGCTCTGAAAGCAGCAAATGCATCCGCGATTCCTTTAAGGAAGGCAATTTCTTGAGGGTTTGCTGGGGGATGCAAAGCTTCTCTCAGGCCCAGTCTGAAAGAGTTGACCGACTTCTCAATGTTGTAAACATACTCATTGAGGTCCGGATGATCTTCCCACTCCGAGAAATACTCGGTGGCTCTTTCAAGCACATACCAGGGGTAATCCTCATAAAACTTTCCGAAGAGATCGTCCATCCTGGTTTTCGAACATGATTCATCCCCGTGTATAATAGTTCGGGCTGACCCAGGGGAAAACGCAGTCTCGATATCGTAATTTTCGTCTTCTTCGGATGGCTCATAGCCATGGTGTCCGTATTGATTGTTTTCGAGTTCGTAGTTCAAACCGTCCGTGATTTGGGTACGCGGTTCTTCCAAGTAATCCGCCACGAAGTCGTAGGATTCGAATTCCCCCGGAGGCAGGTTTTCAGGACGAGGCGGGGCTTGAGGAGCACTGGACCCGCCCATTTGGTCCCCAGGGTCCACCCAGTCATCCGTGTGGAAGGCGTCCAAGAAAAGGTCCTCCTGCTGTGGCTTTTGGTATGATTCTGAAATGGGTACTCCCTGAAATGATGTGTTGATGTCACGGATGATTTATTGAGGCTTGAAGAAAGCATTGCAAAATACAAACTGCACCAAGTTCTTCACTGTTGGGCTTTATTATTTTTTTCTGAAAGGGATGTTCTGCGAAAATATATCAGCAACTCATCAGTCGATAAAAATTAGAATCAAGCGGAATTTTGTTGTCATCGTAACCAATCGAAAGAATCTCGGATACTCTTCGAATAATTTATCCGAATAAACCCCGCATCTAGTCTTCGGCAAGAATAAACCACTGAATCAAATTGGCATAAAAAATTCATGAATTGCTCCGGCGGTTTTCAAGCATCTTCTTCAATCTCTGTCTCAGCAAACATAAGCTTTTTGTTAGAATAAACCCTCGTCGGGTTGCTCTTTGGGTATGGAAAGTAGTCGCTGCTCTAATACTGTATTTGGCATCAAAACGTGTTTTTAAATCCCTTTGCAACGTGAGGAAGATTCGTAGATTGAATTTAAAACCTGGCTAGTCTCTTCTTTCATTCCTTCGGTCATGGATTGATGTATTTCTCATTTTCATCCATGGTCATGCGGTTTTGGAAATTATTTTTGGACAAAAAAAAAGGAGTGAATTTGATGCAACAGTTCTCGTTCGCTTTGGTGCGAAACCCAATATTTGGCATACGAATTTTCAGCTGTATGCGTGTATATTCGCGAAATGAGTACTTGTACCTCATCTGTTCATTTACCTAATTGAATTTTTTGTTCTTCTCATACTTGTATAATCCATGAAAATACAATGGCATAGTTTAGAAATGTTCTTGTGACGAACTACTGATGAGAGCATTTACAAATATTTGCTTAGTAAAGCTCTGAAAATCGCCGTATTTCACGAAATGTCACGCATTGATCTAAAATTTCCGAAAGTTCGAGAGCAAAATGCCTGATTTCAGAGATCGGCCCTTACCTCGGGTTCAGATTGAACGATCCTAGTAGAGAATTTCGGAGGTCCTGGGGGTCGTCCAAGGTTTGGTCTTCTCTGGTTTGGATAATTTTGATGAAGATACGGTCTGGGTCTTCGTCCCGGTGGTCTGGCCCTGTATCGTTGTCGGTTTTCCTTTTGAATGGACGATTTCCATTATTCAGACGATAAATAGTACATGCATTTGAAATATATTGTATTTGTGCTTCTAACATTATTTTCAGAATTTCTGTGACAGTAGTGCCTCATGCATAACTCATATCTCAAACCCGTATTTATGCTCCAAAAATGACTCATGGACTGATGCTATCAATTCTCTACTGCATTTCATATGCATCCCCTTCAATGAATCTACATTTTACTGAGGAAAAAATCAAAGTTGATAACTTTTCTGAAAATATGAACCAGTTGGCAATGATTCTAGAAGATTAAATGTTGTATTCTCATTTAGCCATTGCTTAAAAGGTATCTTGGTAAAGCTTTTATAGGAAATTCTAGGAAATTTATACGAAAGTGGTTCATGAAGGAAAGCTAGCTCCATTCGTGGGAAAAGACCTCATTCATTATAAAATATTTGAATGAGAACGTATGAAATGTTATGATAATGCTCCTTACAGTGCTAAAAAAAAATGTTGTCAAGAATTAATCAACTTTGCTTCAGACGCCCAATACTTCTCTGAGTGTTTCATTCTGCAGTACTCTGTTTGGTTTTGCCATTTCTTTGAGATCATAAGAATAACACTAACTGGTAAAGGTCTATTGGACAGGATCCTCCTCTCATGTACTGCTTCCACTGATGATGGGCGGGGTTGGCCAAGAGCATGTTCTTGAAACATTTCTTGGCTTACTTGCGCAGGGGGTTCTTGGAATCGTTCTTGGGTTTCTTGCGCAGGGGGTTCCTGGAAATGATTTTGAGCTTTGTGCTCAAGGGGTTCCTGGAAAAGGACTCGGGGTTCTTGCTCTGGTTGGGGCAATCCCTCATCCTCTGTGTCCTTGAATGAGGATTAGCACTCATTTACGGGAGGTACTCATCTGGTCCCATGTGTGAACCATATAGCCACAATGCTTTCTAAAGTCTTGTAGGCAGAAGCCATTGAAGGGCCCCTCGGCCGTCAAGGGGGCCTCACCTTAACCTTCATTGATCAGCCAATCAACAAGATAACCACTTATCCGTAGACAAAATAAACCCATATTAGCCCTTGGACGGCAGAGGGTTCTTTCCCATCGCCGGCTGAAATTGGATTATTTTTGTATGCTGTGGCGTTTTAATTTTTCTGAAGGTCAGAAAAGACCTTCCAGGTGGGCTGAGGCAAAGTCAGGATTAATCCAAGAAAAGCTCATTGCTTAGCATATGATTTTTTTCATTTTCCCATGAAATTTTTCTGTGAAAAAAGAAAAAAACATTGGATTTTTCCCGACTTTGTCCTCAAGTCCCTGTTGCCCTTTTTTTATTTTCTGCCCTGAGGTGTAACGAAATTTTGCAAAATAGTCCAACTTTGCTGCCCAAGGGTTAGTGAAAGACTACACTGGTGCTGGCAGCACTGAAGAAAAACCACCCCACGCCACACCATCTGCGAGCCTATGCCCAGCTCTCCTGGGACAACATCACCAATGCTGCCCTGAAATCCTTTGTTAAATCAACCACCATCAACCGTCCTGATGTCACTGCCTTACATAAAGCTGATATCACCTGGTGGCTAACAGCCACTGGCATACCCCCAGGGGCCATCTTGGCTTGGGAAACCTTCAGGTACCCATGCATCTGTGTAGTTGTTTGCTATTATGTGTTTATTTGGGTTTGAGATAAGTGGTTATCTTGTTGATTGTTCAATTAATGAAGAGGGGCCCTTCTATGGCTTCTGCCTACAGTCTGGATATGCCACTTTGTGTCATTGGATTACAACTCCAATAGCCTCAAGATGGGTGTAGTCCAAAAGCCCCCCCCCCCTGCCAAAAGCCCTCTAGGTCAAAAGCCCCCCCCCTTTGTGCAAAAATTTTGGATTACAGTTCTCCTTGTAACTCTTGATGGTAAGCTGTGTGGGGTCGAGAGAGTGCGTGGAGAAGCCCGAGCGTAGCATCCTCGCTCGGGCTCCACATATGAAAAAGTACGACGCGTCCGGAACCAAGGTCCAGCATGGCACCCGGTTACCGCCTGGCGGAACCGGGTGAGATAAGAAGATTATTATTAATATTATAATTGTCTGCGCATCGAATTCCGTGAGGCTCCGAAGCCGTCACTCTGCTGATAGCCTTGCTTTGGTACGGTTGCCTGTGGATACCTGATTTCCTCCCTGAGGACTTGTCTTTGTGTGTGACTTGTGTGGATGATTGAAATATCTTGAGGATTTCGGATCTTGGTTCTGTTTGGAGCGTTGTGTGGACTCTGTAATAAACGAGCGCTTAAGGGACTCCCTTCTGGAGGATCCGGCCTCCTAAAGGCTGTGTACGGTTTATACTTATTTACATAAGGTCTTTGTCATCGTCGCCTGACAAAATTGGTGGCCAGCGGGTCTACCGAGAAGCGGTACGAACCTCGGCATTGTTTTCCTCCTTGTACGGCGTTCTCAGTGCTCTTTCTTACGCCTACGCGTGAAACCGGGCCTAACCTGCTATTGAATTTGCGGGAACCCCCCCGAAAGCGACAAACGAAAGATACTCACCCCCTGTAGCGCAGTCATGAGTTCGGTGAATCCATCACCCATTTCCAGCAGGCTGCGCGCGACGCGCAAGCCTCCGCGGCGATTTGTTCCCCCTCTCAGGGGGTCGGGGCATCGAGTTTCCAATAG